GAGTGTGTGTTGGTTCGTGTGGAAGTGTGTTGGTGCGTGTGGGAGTGTGTTGGTGCGTGTGGGAATGTGATGGTAGGTGTGGGAATGTGTTGGTGCGTGTGGAAGTGTGTTGGTGCGTGTGGGAGTGTGTTGGTGCGTGTGGGAATGTGTTGGTGCATGTGGGAGTGTGTTGGTGCGTGTGGGATGGTGATGGTGCGTGTGGGAGTGTGTTGGTGCGTGTGGGATTGTGTTGGTGCGTGTGGGGTGTTGGTGCGTGTGGGAATGTGTTGGTGCATGTGGGGTGTGTTGGTGCGTGTGGAGGTGTGTTGGTGCGTGTGGGAGTGTGTTGGTGCGTGTCAGGTGTGTTGGTGCGTGTGGAATATGTTGGTGCATGTGGGAGTGTGTTGGTGCGTGTGGGGTGTGTTGGTGCGTGTGGGAATGTGTTGGTGCATGTGGGGTGAGCTGGTGCGTGTGGGTTTTTGGTGCGTGTGGGAGTGTGTTTATGCGTGTGGAATGTGTTGGTGCGTGTGGGAGGTGTGTTGGTGAGTGTGGGGTGTGTTGGTGCGTGTGGGAGTGTGTTGGTGCATATGGGAATGTGTTGGTGCGTGTGGGAGTGTGTTGGTGCGGGTGGGGGTGTGTTGGTGCGTGTGGGGTGTGTTGGTGCATGTGGGAGTGTGTTGCATGTGGGAATATGTTGGTGCGTGTGGGAGTGTGTTGGTGCGTGTGGAATGTGATTGGTGCGTGTGGGAGTTTGTTGGTGCATGTGGGAGTGTGTTGCTCGTGTGGGAATGTGTTGGTGCGTGGAGGAGTGTGTTGGTGCGTGTGGGAGTGTGTTGGTGCGTGTGGGGTGTGTTGGTGCGTGTGGGGTGTGTTGGTGCAGTGGGGAATGTGTTGTTGGTGCGTGTGGGAATGTGTTGGTGCGTGTGGGAGTGTGTTGGTGCGTGTGGGAATGTGTTGGTGCGTGTGGGAGTGTGTGTTGGTGCATGTGGGATATGTTGGTGCGTGTGGGAATGTGTTGGTGCGTGTGGGGTGTGTTGGTGCGTGTGGGGTGTGTTGGTGCGTGTGGGAGTGCGTTGGTGCGTGTGGGAGTGTGTTGGTGCGTGTGGGGAGTGTGTTGGTGCGTGGGAATGTTTTGGGCGTGTGGGAGTGTGTTGGTGCGTGTGGATGTGTTGGTGCGTGTGGTGTGTTGGGGTGCTATGGAGTTGTTGGTGCGTGTGGGAATGTGTTGGTGCGTGTGGGAGTGTGTTGGTGCGTGTGGGAGTGTGTTGGTGCGTGTGGTGTGTTGGTGCGTGTGGGAGTGTGTTGGTGCATGTGGGAGTGTGTTGGTGCGTGTGGGGAGTGTGTTGGGTGCGTGTGGGATGTGTTGGTGCGTGTGGGAATGGTTTGGTGCGTGTGGGAGTGTGTTGGTGCGTGTGGGATGGTGTTGGTGCGTGTGGGGTGTGTTGGTGCGTGTGGGATGTGTTGGTGCGTGTGGGAGTGTGTTGGTGCGTGTGGGAATGTGTTGGTGCATGTGGGAGTGTGTTGGTGCGTGTGGGAGTGTGTTGGTGCGTGTGGGGTGTGTTGGTGCGTGTGAGGTGTGTTGGTGCGTGTGGGAATTGTTGGTGCTGTGGGAGTGTGTTGGTGCGTGTGGGAGTGTGTTGGTGCGTGTGGGAATGTGTTGGTGCTGTGGGGAGTGTGTTGGTGCGTGTGGGAGTGTTTTGGTGCGTGTGGGGTGTGTGTTGCGTGTTGGAATGTGTTGGTGCGTGTGGAGTGTGTTGGTGAGTGTGGGAGTGTGTTGGTGCGTGGGAGTGTGTGGGCTTGGAATGTGTTGGTGCGTGTGGAGGTGTGTTGGTGCGTGTGGGAGTGTGTTGGTGCGTATGGGGAGTGTGTTGGTGCTGTGGGAGTGTGTTGGTGCGTGTGGGAATGTGTTGGTGCGTGTGGGGAGTGTGTTGGTGCGTGTGGAAATGTGTTGGTGCGTGTGGGAGTTTGTTGGTGCATGTGGGAGTGTGTTGGTACGTGTGGGAATGTGTTGGTGCGTGGGGGAGTGTGTTGGTGCGTGTGGGGAGTGTGTTGGTGCGTGTGGGATGTGTTGGTGCGTGTGGGAGTGTGTTCGTGCAAGTGGGAATGTGTTGGTGCGTGTGGGAATGTGTTGGTGCGTGTGGGAGTGTGTTGGTGCGTGTGGGACTGTGTTGGTGCGTGTGGGAGTGTGTTGGTGCATATGGGAATATGTTGGTGCGTGTGGGAATGTGTTGGTGCGTGTCGGGTGTGTTGGTGCGTGTGGGAGGTGTGTTGGTGCGTGTGGGGTGCGTTGGTGCGTGTGGGGTTTGTTGGTGCGTGTGGGAGTGTGTTGGTGCGTGTGGAATGTTTTGGTCCTTGTGGGAGTGTGTTGGTGCGTGTGGGACTGTGTTGGTGCGTGTGGGAGTGTGTTGGTGCATATGGAAATATGTTGGTGCGTGGGGAATGTGTTGGTGCGTGTGGGAGTGTGTTGGTGCGTGTGGGGAGTGTGTTGGTGCGTGTGGTGTGTGTTGGTGCGCGTGGGGTGTGTTGGTGCATGTGGGTGTGTTGGTGCGTGGGGAGTGTGTTGGTGCGTGTGGGAATGTGTTGGTGTGTGTGTGGTTTGGGTGCGTGTGGTGTGTTGGTGCGTGTGGTGTGTTGGTGCGTGGGAAGTGTGTTAGTGCGTGTGGGGTGTGTTGGTGTGTGTCGCAATGTGTTGGTGCGTGTGGGAGTGTGTTGGTGCGTGTGGGAGTGAGTTGGTGCGTGTCGGACTGTGTTCGTGCGTGTGGGAGTGTGTTGTTGCATGTGGGAGTGTGTTGGTGCGTGTGGGAGTGTGTTGGTGCGTGTGGGAGTGTGTTGGTGCATGTGGGAATGTGTTGGTGCATTTGGGAGTGTGTTGGTGCATATGGGACTGTGTTGCTGTGCGTGGGAGTGTGCTGGTGTGCGTGGGAGTGTGTTGGGGCATGTGGAAGTGTGTTGGTGCTTGTGGGAGTGTGTTGGTGCGTGTGGGAGTGTGTTGATGCATGTGGGAGTGTGTTGGTGCGTGTGGGAGTGTAGTTTTGCGCAGTGAAAACGACAATGTTACCCATAAGCATGACTGCCCGTTAGGAACACTGAATACAGCACGCTTAAAAAATATGAAATAAAATAAAAAAATCGACGCACAAGGGAACACTGTCCTCGACCGCCTTCACTTCCCCCAACTTGTAAAGCCAGGCAGTCATTTACAGTTAGGGAGACTTGGGACTACAAAACTGAAGTGGAAGAAAATGTCCAGGGCTGTTCACCAGACGCTCCTGTATTACCGTATTTTAAACCATTTTTTTTTTATGAAATTCTTCTTATATAATTGATGCATTTAACAGGAACTGATCACTATTTTACACCACACTTCCCTCTCGTGTGTATACAATCCTTCAGTTGTGTCAAGAGAAGCGTATACTAGATTGAATAAACATACCCCCAAAAATACAAATGAAATTAAATACTGAAACACAAGCTGGGAGACACTATCATTCTGTACTTGTCATTAATTCCATATTCATATTAAATTATTCACGTATCCATTCATTATTACATTCATTTGTTAATTGGTTCACGTAAATGTAAAAAAAAAGAAAAGAAAAAACAATAATGACATGAAATTTTAAATAAGAGTTCATATGTAAATTGTTCTAAAAAGGAGGTAAGGGTAAGGTGGGGGAGGGAAGGAGGGGGGAAGTTGTGAAATATTTTAGGACCTGGGAGGGAGAAGGGACGGGAGGGATGGGAGGAAGTTGATAAATATTTTAGGCCCTGGAAAGGGAGGAGGGAGGGAGGAGGGGAGGAGGGCAGGATCAAATAACATCAATTCTATATTTCTTGTATGTAATGCGTCTCTCTTGCCTATGTAAATATTACGAAGACTTTATCAAAATCAAGATTAACGTAATATACAATTCACTTTATATGAATTCTCTTTAAATGTACGGACACTTACACACACACACACACACACACACACACACGTCAATCAATCAATCAAACAATCACTCTTACACTATGCTACCCCTACTGTAGGTACGACACACCCCATGTTGTCTATACAGTACAACCTGTGACACCTGTCCAGGCCCTAACACACATATCTATGACGTGTAAAATTGTATTTGAAGTAAAAACACTGTTGGATATTTATATATATATATATATATATATATATATATATATATATATATATACATATATATATATATATATATATATATATATATATATATATATATATATATATATATATATATATATATATATGAAAGGATTTTAGCCTTTTAAAAACAACGATCAACAAACACAGGTACCCTTCTGTGTTTGTTGATCGTTATTTAAAATTCTACACTTAGAATATATATATATATATATATATATATATATATATATATATATATATATATATATATATATATATATATATATATATATATATATATATATATATATGCTGATAACCACAAGGAAAGAAAAAAACACGAAGTTCCCAAGCGCTTTCGTGTAATTCATCTTCAGGGGTGAGTAGGGTCATTACCTAATACCTGACCATTGTGGACCTGATCTCACCCTCCTCTGTATATATACACCTTGTTTTGTACTTCCCCTTAGTCTGTACTCGCCCCTGAAGATGTGAATTACACGAAAGCGCTTGGGAACTTCGTGTTTTCTTCTTTCCTTGTGGTTATCAGCATATACCTGGATCACGCGCAACTACAGTGATTTACTTGCGCATATATATATATATATATATATATATATATATATATATATATATATATATATATATATATATATATATATATATATATATATATATATATATATATATATATATATATATATATATATGTACTCTATGTGTGTATAAATGGTACATACTGTACATACAGCATTTCGTTATATAAACTATGTACCTGTGTCTGTGTTTTTCTAGTGTAAAATAATTTCTTTCCAATAATGCAAAATTATAATTCACTACAGTTCCTCACCAGAACAACATCACCATCACAGCTACTCACCAGGATAGAGGGTCACCGCCAGTGCCGACACAGCAGCATCAGCAGACACCAACACAACAGGCGGGCGTTGCTGTGGAGAGCGGGAGAGGAGGCAGTGTGGACAGCAGCTGACTCCTCACCTAGGAAAGGAGAGAGAAGAAGTGCCGTGAGCAATAGATTTTAAATGTCACCAAAATAGGCGGCGAATTTATCCATTTACACTAGCTCTCATCGCTAACCATGCACAAGTGGGACTCATCATTAGCCACGTGAACCGAAACTTACCATTAACCATGTGCACCAAGACTCAAAGAGGGGCGCACACACACACACACACACACACACACAAACACACATAAATTTTGGAGCATTATAAATTATATATCAAAATGTCTATATAGTTTGTAACGTTTAGTATTATTGTCATGTTACCTTGTTACCTTGTTATTAATATACCTGGTATGTCTCTTGTCCTTCTCCTTACCCATGTAAACAAAGAAGGTAATTTACTCAGTGTTAGTAGACCGGGAAACTACCACTCAAATCAGTCACCCTCTAATTGCTCAACAGTCAATCACCATACACAAGTGAGATGTAATTGCAGAGTACCTCAGAGAGGACAGGATACCTCTCGTCTTATATGGCACTGTAAGCAGGCTAGCAGACGCAGCAAATAGAATAATGACAAGTCTTATTGTACTAAAATACACGAGGCAAAAACAACAAGGCTTGATTGTACTAATTACTGAATTTCCGGAGACAACAACAACAATGACAAGATATTGAATTCACAGAAATTATATCATTGTATCTATACGCCTCATTGCCTTCTGAGTAACAAAGATGTACTCAATAAAAAAAAATCATCTAAAGTCTTGAGTCATTGTTCCTCTACTACGAGTTTTTTTCTTACTTATGGACCGTTCTTGTCTCAGTCCGTCTTTCTGGGTTCGTTTTGTCTTGTGTTTTTTTGTCATTGCTGTATATTGTCCTGACTTCAGTCTGAGGCCACAACAAAAGCACAGATCTATCAGGAAAACACAGAAATGCATTTGGATTATGAAGACACGTAACCAAACAGAGACTCACCGCGCGCGCGCGCGCGTGTGTGTGTGTGTGTGTGTGTGTGTGTGTGTGTGTGTGAAAATATAGTTATGTTATTGTAAAGCATAAATTAAAGAATCACGAGTAATTAAGAATATCAGGTCATTAATATACAGTGAGCCTTTTGTTGAGAGAAATTTGGTCTGGTGATCCTCATGTTACACTACACTCACCGTTCACCACATGCACCAGTACTCACCGTTCACCACATGCACCAGTACTCACCGATTCACCACGTACCAAAGGGTTGAACACATGCACCAGTACTCATCATTCACCACATGCACCAGTATTTACCATTTACCACATACACCGGTATTCACCATTTACCACATGCACCAGTACTCACCGTTCACCACGTGCACCAGGACTGAGGCGGCCTCGGCAAATTGGGGGCCACAAGTGTAGTTACCAGAATCAGTCTTCAGCGCCGGGGTGATGAAGAGCTTGGAGGTGGTCTTCGTCGGCGTCTTCTCTATCTCCACACTTACCCCGCCCCTATGTGAGAGAAAAAGACAGTGAGAACATAAGAACATAAGAATGGAGGAAACTGCAGCGGGCCTATTGAACCATACTGGGCAGTCCCATTTACACCCAACCCCTATTGCTCATATAACCACCCAACCTATGTTTGAAGCTATCCAGCGTATTCGAGTTAATGATGATATTTGGTAACTTGTTCCACTCATCCACTACTCTATTTCCAAACCAATGGTTACCTATTTTGCGCCTAAATCTAGATTTGTCTAATTTAAAACCATTGTTACGAGTTCGCTCCTGGTTGGATAGTTTGAGTACCTTTGTAATGTCCCCTTTGTTTAGCCCTGACTTCCATTAATACACCTCTATCATGTCCCCCCTCGCTCTACGTCTCTCGAGGGAGTGCAAATTAAGATGCTTTAACCTGTCTCTGTACTCAAGGTTCCTAATGCCCGGGATTAGTCTTGTCATTCTCCTCTGAATTCTTTCCAAGGATTCTATATCCATTTTGTAATACGGTGACCAGAATTGAACTGCGTAATCCAGGTGAGGTCTCACAAGCGCAAGATATAGTCTTAAGATGACCTCGCTTGTCTTGTAACTAACACTCCTTTGTATGAACCCTAGGACTTTATTAGCCTTGTTTCGGGCAAAAACACATTGTTTACTTGGCTTTAGATTCCTACTTATCATCTATCCATATAGATTAGACAATCTATATCTTTATAAAACAAAAAAGTCTGTCTGTTTGTGTGTGTGTGTGTCCGCACGAGAATCTCGGAAAATACTTTGCCGATCTGTAGTGATGATGGATGGTGTTATATGTAGTGATGATGGATGATGTTATATGTAGTGATGATGGATATTGTTATATGTAGTGATGATGGGTGGTGGTTTATGTAGTGATGATGGATGGTGTTATATGTAGTGATGATGG